CATTTAGCCATGCCCCCATCCTAGTTCTTGCAGTATGGTATGATGAACTTTGACAAATTCGGAGCTGTCCTGTGCTCAGTGCTCAACTCCTGTGTTGTCTCAAGGAGAGTATTTAGCCCTCCCATTTCTTATCTTAGAACTATAGAATGATTCGCTTTTACATTTTTGAGTGGAGGGTGGTTGGTTAGTCTAGAAAGAAAATGCGGCAGGGCTTACACCAAAAGATTAGCCCACAGCAGGATCAATATGTATTTTTATGTACTTGCATCGTCTTTTAAAGGTATAAAACACATGGTAATGTAAATGTATTGCAGAGATGTACTGCATATGTTTTGTTTCATTTTGCCCTGACGAGCACTTTAAGCTCCACAGATTGCTGGAAGCAGGAGAGAATTAATTCATGCGTCTAGCATAAGTGTGAACTCCAAAAGCCTTCTTTTTTTATAGTAGGGATACGTTATCCAGTATTATACACCAGATACAGTTTATAACAAAGAAAGCTTCATGTTTTGTAACTATGCAAAGCAATTAGAAGAGGTGTGTGCAAAGTGATTGATGTTTCTGGGTGTGCAACCTATAAAGTTACCAGGAAGCGTAAGGACAAAATGCAGCCAAGTTTCTATAAAAGGCTTTTCAATGCTTTCTGTTACATCGCCGCTGGTTTCTAGGCTGCAAGTGGATCAGGCATGCAGAAACAAGAGTTTCATGAATTCTTTCACAGAGGCCGAGGTTTTTCCAGTCACACTGCCTGTGACCGTTTTAGGTAAATGATTATTTATTAAACTGCAGGCAAGAGGATTCGTTCTGAGTATTATGTAATAAACTTGGCTGGCATCAGGATCTTTTTGGATTTTTCTCATATAAATTTGGAAAACAGAAAGTTAATTCACAATTATACTTTGAAAAGCAACACTGGACCCCATTAGCAATCACAAACACAAATCCTCTGTGCATATATTGAAGCGGATCTTCACTCTGGAAATTGTCTGTTCCTCTATGTAACCCAAACCTCTCTGCATAATTAAAAAAAACTAATGTTAAATAGAAAAAAACAAAACATTTTTTTACATTTTTCGGACCTGTCCACTGCATCCATTCCCACCTAGGTGAGAATGATGTGTCCTGCTCCCGTGGAGTCCTGGGATATCCTTGTCACATATCATAGGAGGCTGCAGGGAAACAGAAAGTCCAGAGGGCAGACCTGGTGGTGCATCATAGGCTGGTTGCAAGAACCTGGAAGAGTCAGCCAGTCCCCCATGACATCAGAGAGGAAGATGGGGTGGTGGGACCAGGGTTACGGCAGTGCAGCAGCGGATTGCAGCTGGACAATGCTAGAAAAAAACAAAACAGAGAGGGTAGGGGATGAAGTTCCTCTTTAACATATAATTTTGGTAGTCTTGAATATTCCACTAAAGAAAGCTTTTCCATTAACTACTGTATGGCTAAAAGTTTGTGGACACATGATCATTACACTTTTATATGAGCTTGTTGAACATCCCATTCCAAAATTCATAAATATTAATATGGAGTTGCATCCCCATTGAGACTATAAAAACCTCCACTCTCTTCTAGGAAGGCCTTCCTCAAGATGTCAGGGTGTGTATGAGGGAATTTTTGCCCATTCAGCCAAAAGAGCATTTGTGAGGTCAAATACTGGCGTAAGATTTAAAGATCCAGCCTGCAATTAGCCTTTCAACTCACCCCAAAGATGTTCAAAAGGGCTGAGTTCAATCCATGTCTTTAGGGAGCTTGCTATGTACACAGGGGCACAGCCAGGTTGGAACAGAAAAGGACCTTCCCCAAACTGTTTCCAGAAGAGAAACAACAGCTATGCGGCATGCTTCTCAGAAGCTGATAAATACAGAGTGGCCTATGGCCACAATCACACTGAAAGAGCCTGATCTTGTCTGATCTCAGAGGTTAAGACGGGTAGGGCCTGGTTAGTAATTGGGTGGTAGAGAGCCTGGGAATACCCCACGTAGGCGTAAAAACTAGAGATTTTTGATCCATGGAATATTTATTTGCCTAAGGGCATTCAAAAGGATTCCTCCTCATTGGAGCAAGATTTTTAATGTTTTTTTGCCTTCCTCTGGATCAACTGTGGGTATAGAGCCCTGTTTATGGAGGTTTTCTATTTATCTATTCAGTTTTTTCCTCTTTTGGTTGAACTTTATGGCCTTTTCTCAACCTGACCTAACATTGTAACAGCTGCTAAGAGGTGTGCTATACAGCCAGTTTTCTTTATTCTGTTTCTTGTAACTAGTTTTATAATCCATCTAGTCCATCGTGTTAATAGTTCACAATATCCAACACTGCAAATTCTGATGAAGGGGATACTTCTCTCAAAATTTGTTGGCCACCTTTGCAGATTTTAGTGAACTATTTTACTGTACACAATCCACTTCAGACTCTTTTATGTTTGAGTGTGATGTTCTGTGTTGTTCTTCTGCTTTGAATATGAAGACCTTACTGCATATATAAGCTGCCTGCTTGATCCACTTTACAGCATTTGTTCAAATGGTTCTTGTTCGGGGAACCAGCTCCATCCACCCACCATTTGATAAAAATTCACCTGTCACTTAACACAGAGAAAAACATTTTCCATAATTGAGCTCCAGTTTTTTCTAAATTTTAAGCAAGTAGATTTTTATTCAAAATTTGTCGATACAAAGGCAAAAACATGACTTCGAACAGAAGGAGTCTGCATATACCTGGTTTTAGCATACAATACTGGAAAAACACGTAAAATAGCAAACAACATAGTCCTATGTCAGCGATGTCATACCAGGGGATGACAGAGTGTGTAAATTGGCAATGTGGGCCATGGAGATATAGATAGGAATTGCTGACATTACATGTACAATGCCTATAAAGTATATAACTGACATAGGTAGGAAGTGGGATGGATCAGAATAGGTAAGAGAAGGCATGGGACTGTGGGGACATGGAAATCTGGATGTTCGAGATCAGCACACGAGCGGATTCATGTCATAGAACATTGAGTTTATCCAAAGAGCCAGCGGACAGAGCTTGAAGGTACCACTTGGATCGCTTGAATAGAGACCTAATATCTTTCAGTTGGTCTAGGGTACATTCAGATGTCAGGAATTGTGCCCAAGTATGGAAGAATTTACCGGTGCAATCTAAATTGTGTTTAATGTGAGCTCCAGTTTTATAGTCACATTCTTTATTGAACTGTTATGATAATTATACTTAATTGTTACTAGCAGAACAAGATAAACTGCTCAGTCATATGATGAGAAATTGGAGTGGAGGTTGGCTGGTTAGTCATTCTATGACTTTGGTAACAATATTATTTCTTTGATATTTATTGGGTAATTAGGAAGTTCAAAACGTTCAGTTAGCTTAGCAATCAATCATTTCTAGTTAGTGCTAGCGAAAATTCAGCTTTTTTTTGTTTTATTTTGTTTTTGCACATTATTGGCGTTAAATTTGGGCAAAGATTTTTATAACCTTGTTAACCAAGCTTATCAATCATTGACTGTGCATTAGTGAACCTTCTCTACTCCAATAGTAACTCAACCCCATAGAGATGATCACTGGGTATGTTTCAAGTTGGTTCAGATTAAGTCTCAGAATCAGGATGTCTGACAAGCCAATCAGATTGCAACTGACATTCTTTAGAAAAGCCAGGTTAAAGGAGAACTATGGGGTAAGTGTTTTTCCCCATAGTTCTCCTAAGGGTCATGGGAGGACATACTAGCGTCCTCCCGCGACCCAAAGCTCAGTATATCGCGGGCTATACTAAGACTGTACACTAAGTATACATTACTGTCGAGATCCACCCAGCTGTGTGAGTGACAGCTGGCTGAGGCAGAGCCAGCTGTAACTGCCCCCTCCCCCGTCTGTTCCTCCAGACAGCGCTGGAGGATCAGAGCGGGGAGGGGAGAATCCCTGCAGGAAGCCGTGAGAGACAGTCACGGCTCTCTGCGGGGAGATGATCGAGAAGTGAGCGAGTGACGGTATGTGTTCGCTCACTTCCCTATCTATTGAGCCGACGTGTGACAGTTTCATTGTCACACATCAGCTCGAACTATGAGGTTGAGTGAAAATCACTCACCTCATAGTTTTAAAAAAGTAGGGCTGTTACTGATTACAATTTTCGTGTTCGATTAATCGAAATTTTTTCCAATCGATTAATTTTGATTAATTATAACACACATACAGATCCAACTACATTGGCCTGTACACATACAGCACAGCAATGAAGTAATAAAATGAACTAGGATCACACTAATCCAGCACGTTATTAATCTCACGTGCCCCACTCAATATGGCCGCCGCTTGAGTGGGGCAACTCAGAATAATAACGTGATGGATTAGTGTGATCGACGTCATCGGACTCCTCCCCCCTTCCCTTCGTTAGCCGACGGAGCCACTTGGGAAAGGGGGGAGGAGTCCGGTGACGTCGATGTCCGTGACGTCACCGAATCTCCGACGGGACTCCCGGAAGCCGGCGGAGAGGTGAGTATTTTAATTAGCGATCAAAAAATGTTTAATCAATCAAAAAGATTAACGATTAATAGAGAAATTAATCATTAATTTGCACAGCCCTAAAAAAAAGAAAAAAGGAAAGCGAGAATCTGGTGGGTTGTTATGGGTACCAGAACCAACATCTTTTCATCAAAAGTCAATATCCAAGTTCTCACCTCCATCTGTAACCATTTCCTGGCCACTGACCTTTGCCTGCTATACTTCAGAGAGCAGCAATTAGCAGGCTATGAATGAAAAAAATTCTTGGGCAAATAAAAAAGTTCCCTTGCATGACTTTTAACTGTGTTAGCAGCTGTATGCCTAGATTTAATGCAGCTGAAGGAAGACATCAATGAACTGAATTAGGCTCTTTGTTAGCACAGACAGGGCTTATATAAGGAAATTTGAAGCATAATCACTTCTGCCTTGCAGCTAAATATAAACCTGTTCTGTGACTTACGTGAATAAAGTGTGTCATATTAATAAAAGCCTTTATTTCATTTCAGGTCAGACCATCCCCTCAGCAGCGGCTCCGGTAAGTCAACATATTGTTATTATAATTAATAATCGTCTATTGATGCAGTTTGTAAAGGAGAGACGAGGGGATGACGCGATGTACTTGTAATTGTGTTCGTGTCTAGAAAATGTTCCATAAAGAGACCAAAAATGAGGAACTTATGAGGAAGTTATGAAGGGGTTTATGTTACACCATCAGAAAAGAGAGCTCAGAGTTTCCTGTTTTCAGTGACACATCTTATATCGTTATTAAATGTGACAACTAGGAGTGAAGAGAGAGGGAGCACGTGAAGGCGAATCACACAAGACCTGACAGGCGGGGTGTTTATTGGGGTGTTTCTGTACATAGGAGTGGGGTGAGATAACAGTGTGGTACAGTAGGGTTTCCACCTTTTCTTCAAGCCAAACCCGAGACACTGTAGCGCCTCGCGGCAATTTTTTTTTTTTAAGTTTACACTATGCATATAGTTTGTGATTAAATACCTTTGGAGTTAATCACAATGTATCACAAATCATATGGTGTTAATCACAACTTGCCAGTGTGCCACAGGTCCCCAGATATACATTCTGTACATAAACGGTGCCCCATTAAGATGCCAGTGTGCCACAGGCCCCCAGATATACATTCTGTATATAAACGGTGCCCCATTAAGATGCCAGTGTGCCACAGGTCCCCAGATATACATTATGTACATAAACCAGTGTGCCACAGGTCCCCAGATATACATTCTGTACATAAACGGTTCCCCATTAAGATGCCAGTGTGCCACAGGCCCCCAGATATACATTCTGTATATAAACGGTGCCCCATTAAGATGCCAGTGTGCCACAGGCCCCCAGATATACATTATGTACATAAACGGTGCCCCATTAAGATGCCAGTGTGCCACAGGTCCCCAGATATACATTCTGTACATAAACGGTGCCCCATTAAGATGCCAGTGCGCCACAGGTCCCTAGATATACATTCTTTACATAAACAGTCCCCCCATAAGATGCCAGTGTGCCACAGGTTCCCAGATATACATGGCGCTGCTCACAACAGAGCTTCAATACAGATGTTGCCAGCACTCCAGCACCAAGATGCCAAGTTGGTGCAAACTAAGGATGCACTGATAGCGGTTTTTCAGTATCAAGTAAGAGTACCAAAAATTTTTCCGGTACCTGCCAATACTGAGTACCGGTGCCTTGTGCCCCGATTATCAGTAAGTCGGGTGGCAGATCATGACCCGTCGCCCGGCTTCCTGATTGCATGTGAAGCCGGTCTTCTAGTGAAAGAACCCCAGCTTCACAGGCTGTCTGGCTTCCTGACCAATCAGGAAGCCGGGCGGCGAGTCACGAGGTGCCCTCTGGCTTCCTGAATGGTCACGATGCCAAGCTGCTTAGAAACACGTGAAGCTGGCTTCCTAGCCAATCAGGAAGCCGGGAGGTGGGTCATAACCCACCGCTGGAATTCCTGATTGGACACGGCTTCATGCTCCCTCGGCACTACCGGTCCCCTCTGAACAGAAGTTCCGTTATCGGAGGTTTGTATTGGAGCATTTGAGCGAGTACCATGGGCTGAGTGATGACATTTTTCATCTCGGCATGCTCAGCTATGCAAGCTCTCCCAATCTGACGTGGCGGAGTGAGCATGACATGACACACTGCACGCGAAGGCAGCGTGCCGCCGCTGTACGCTACTTTGCATGCAGTGTGCCACAGCCTTTAGACCGCCAGAGATTTTAGCACAGTGTTAAAATCTCATGTAGACAATTACGTTCTATATGTTCTTATTAAAACAATATTTCGTGCTCAAGGTTCCTATAACTAAGTGGAAATATGAAGCTGCTATGCTCCGAGCGTATTCACTCTTCAAACAATTCATCCCCACACAGCTACCTCTTCATGTATCACTTCTCCCTCCCTTTTAGATTGTAAGCCCTCAGGGGCATGGCCCTCCTTACCATCTTCCCTTGAATTGTATTGTAATTGTCATGTCTTCCTTATATTGTAAAGCGCTGCACAAACTGTTGGCGCTATAAAAAATCCTGAATAATAATAATAATATAAAAGCATATATAGATAGGCAGAGCCAGCTGTCACTCACGCAGCTGGGCGGATTCCGACATAATTGTCGGGATCCGCTTCAGCTGCGGCGTCTCATTATATAGTGAGCTGTAGCTCATTCTATATGTCCCAGCAGTCCCAATCACAAGATGCACAGGTGCAGAACCATATGTCCCAGCAGATCTAATCTCCTTCCCGTCATCTTCTAGTGAGGCCTTGCAGCGATGATTCTCTCTTGTCCATCACTGGGGTTAACTCTGAATTCGCTGACTCCATTCTGAGCCCTGATACATTGTACATGGATTTCAGCAGAGACCTGAGCCCAAATTGCCAGTCCTGAGGTGTCTGGTTATATTCTGGCACAGGATACAATAAATCCCATGCTCCCCGCTGAATCTCCAGACCCCCTGTGTAAACACAAGAACCCTTTGACCAATTATGAGATCAACTGACCGAGTTACACGCAGGCATTTGATTCGTTTTCTTGTAACAAATGATTTTGTTTAGACTTTGAATCTAATATTTCTGATCTACATAACAGTAAATATTTAATGCAAATATATTACAATATATAGAAAACATGTTTTGCTTTACATTTTATTGATCTTAATACCCAGCTGAACTTTGACGCTAAAAACATTCTAGGTGCATCAAACCACCAAAAGGTGTACAAGGTCTTTCTGATTGTTTTCTTTGGAAAGCAGCCACAGCCTAATTAGAAAAGCCTGTCCCCTGCTGACATGCTTCAGTGAAGGACCCTTACTTTCTCTGTGGAAGCAGTGGCCTCTCTGCCGAGGTCCTACATGCCCCCTGCTAATTCAAAGCTACGACTCTCCAGTCATAGGGAGCATGAGCTTTGCTGACTGAAAAGCTAAAGTTCTGACTTAGCGGGGATTTCTGTAGAGAGGCAACTACTTCCACATGGAGAGCAATGGTCTTTCTCTGCAGAATGCTGGTGGGGGGGCAGGCATTACTGCTCAGGCTGTGCACAAAGGAAACAAACTGCAAGACTATGCCCACCTTTTTGTTTTGATGCACCTGGAATGTATTCAGCTGATTTAAGGTGCCCGCACACCTTACGATAATCGTACGATAATCGCGGGAAATCCCACGACCGTACGATTATCTTAGGAACATGTTCGAAAACCTGCTGAGAATCGTACGATTTTCGGCGGGTGTGTAGCATGTTCGTAAGATAAAAGCCGGACGGGCCGGTGTGCGCAAGCGCACACTGCCCGTTCAGCATTGCGGTCATCGGAAGTCCGCCCCTCAGCGGGACGGGCTTGCGACCATCGCAAGTACTATCTGCCTGTCCAAGATAGGCAGATCGTACGTTTTTTTAATTACCTTACAACCATCGCAAGACAAAGGTCTTGCGATGGTTGTAAGGTGTGTGCCCAGCCTTAGGCCTCATTCACATGAGAAAAGCTCTGTGCTGCGTGCATGGCCGTATCAGGCAGCTGCCGGGGAAGGACAGGTGCTGTGTGTGATTAGTAAGCAGCCCCTGTCCTTCCCTATGGGAGTACGCGGCCGTACGCTGCCCTACGCTCACCCCAAGTGCAGGTCTGTACCGGTGCAAGTGTCCCGGCTCGGACGCAGACAGGATCCACCCTGTCAGAGTACGAGTACGGACACCCGCACCTGCACGGACGTGCAGGGCGGGTGAGTGTAGGCAGCGTACGGCCGCATACTCCCATAGAGAAGGACAGGGGCTGCGTACTAATCACACGCAGCACCTGTCCTTCCCGGGAGCTGCCCGATACGGCGGTTCACTGAGCTGTACGTGCCAGCCGTTTCTAGTGTGAATGAGGCCTTAAACTGAAAGTTCAGTCAGGCTTTAAAGAAGATCTGCAGGAACTTAGTTAACCCTTGCAGTGGGGCTACCCCCCCCCCCACACTGCAAGGGTTAACTTTGCTCGTTTTGTCAGAGGTAAATGAATAAAGATATACTCACCCGATCCTCAGTCCTGCTTAGCTGCTAGACTGGTCTCTATGGCCTCTCTCTCCCACCATTCCTTCTGTGATAGGTCTCTCATTGTATTGGATTGATGACTCATGGGACTTTAGACTGTTATAGCCTGGGAAAGAAGAGGCTGCAGGGACCGGCCTAGCGGTCAGGCAGGATCGGTTGAGTATGACTTTATTATTTTTGCTCCCTAGATAAAACAAGCATTTAAACCTTGCAACGCGGGGGTAGCCCCACTGCAAGGGTTAACTTTTCAAATTTCTGGAGGTCGTCTTTAAAAATACAAAATAGGCAGTAATACAGCTGATGTGACATACGAAATTAAAAAAAGGGAGCAATTTAAAAAAAAAAAAAAAAAGATAATGAAATAAGAATATGTGAAAAAGTGTGTTGTTGCCAATCGTTATCAATTAGATTTTATCTTTGATGCGCTGAAACAAGAAAAGATCTGATTGGTCACTATGGTCCACAAATCACTTGTTGTCATGGTTTCTTCTCTTTTTACTGTAAATGGTCTTCGTAGTGTAAATAACCGGTAAGAAAGGAAACCACAAATCGAAAAATCAGATAGTTACCAACATGAGGAGCAAACATGAGATGGAAGGAAAAAACAGGGAGGAAACCAGAAATAAAGTCAAATTTAAACTATATACAGTATGGTTCGGTTTGAATTCACTACCAAATAAAGTCTACATGTTTATTCTGTCTATAGCCGATAAGGATGTCAGAAAGGAGAAGCTCCTTTGCAAATTCATGATTGCATCTTATTTCAACTTCCTCTTAAATCTTAACCTTGTCGCTGCCAGATACATTTTTTTTATCATTCTTCACGCACATGCTAAAATTAACTTTTATTTTACAACTTAACCCCTAAATATGACGTATTACATACCCCTAAATATGAAGTATGGTGTTGACACGGCTGGGTTGTCAAACTGTGGGTGTGAATAACAGATATTGAGTGTGAACTGTTGCTGGTCAATGTGTGTATCTGAAATAATTTTATAGTTTGTAATGTAATTGGAACGTCTATTTTTGATTACTGGAACCAGTTAAGGGCCATTCACACTTGTTTCCTGCAGTGGCTTTGTGTGCATTACATAAACATACATTTCAAATAGAAATACCATTTAGCTTTTTTTTAATTTTAATACATTAAAATGTATCTAAATTCAAAAACAAAAATGTAATATATTGGAGCTTACCATATATTAGATCCCTTTTCTCCCAGAGTTTTGTTCCCTTTATTTTCCCATGGTAATCCCTCAAATAACACACTTGTTGCCCTTGGGTGACTGGGCTCTCTCTTTCACTGTATCTATGGAGGGCCATGGTTTTTCTTGAGCAAAATATGATGTATTACAAACCCCTAAATATTATGTATTACAAACCCCTAAATATGATGTATTACCCCTAAATATGATGTATTACCCCTAAATATGATGTATTACAAACCCCTAAATATGATGTATTACCCCTAAATATGATGTATTACAAACCCCTAAATATGATGTATTACCCCTAAATATGATGTATTACCCCTAAAATATTATGTATTACAAACCACTAAATATGATGTATTACAAACCCCTAAACATGAAGCATTGCAAACCTCTAAATATTATGTATTACAAACCTCTAAATATGATGTATTACAAACCAATAAATATGAAGCATTACAAACCTCTAATGTACCGTATATACTCGAGTATAAGCCGTCCCGAATATAAGCCGAGGTACCTAATTTAGAAACCTGAGAGGATAATTGTAGAAGAAAACTGACCAGCTCAAGACGCTGACGCGAGCATAAGCCGAGGGGGGCACTTTTCAGCAAAAAAAATGGGCTGAAAAACTCAGCTTATACTCGAGTATATACGGTATTACAAACCCCTAAATATGAAAAATTGCAAACCTCTAAATAGCTTATTGGTACGCAGTAAGCTGACCCCAGAACAGGCGCTTACACAGAATGGCACAGTACAATGCAAAAAACCCCGCTGCAAACTTTGCCAACATATATGTGACAGAAATACAGCGAGTCACAATAACAAAGCGTACACCATTAAGGGGTCATACTCATGCACATCTGCTAACGTGGTGTACATGATACAGTGTTCAGCATGTGACAAAGGTTGTTACATTGGATTGTATAGTTTATTGTCGTTTTATTTTTTATTTCAGGAACCGCCCGAACTAGAGTATGCTGATATTGTTTTCAGCAAAAACATGCCAAAAAGACAGCAGGTGAGACCCTCGTTTTTGATATTAACACAGGTCATAACGTCATAAGAGTGAACTGGTCCTATTCATTGGGAACGATAGAAGAGAGACGGAGATTGTAGGGGAAGACCAGAGCACTCCTCATTGGGAAGTTCTCACACAGAGCCACCTCCACGAGGTAGTGGAACACTGGGAGGGGGTTTTCGGAGCACTAAATCTGACCATGCACTGCTCAAATTTCAAGGTGTGGGTGGTCATGTCGGCACCACGTGACTTAGCAAAGTATCATTTTTTAATTGGCTTTTGTCAAAAGAACCATGGGAAAAATTGGAGAACAGTGACTGTATTTCTGTTTAACAGACAGAGATGACAGAATCTCTCCGGCCGACTATTGTATTCAGCAGCCAGTGCCAATAAGCATATTATGATTTACATTTACCTTGAGGCTAGAGACTCATTATAGGGTATTTTCTTGGTTGTCTATGAAAGTGTCGAAGTCAAAGACAGCCATAATATGCATTGCAACAAAGTGGTGCCATATATGTATATGTACAGTATGTGTGTGTGTGTGTGTGTGTATATATATATATCTATATATCTATCTAT